TGTCTTTAAAGAAAAAAAAAAATAATTTTTTTCAAGGCACAGTAGTAAATTCAACAGCACTATGACCATGGCTATACTTCCCTACTTGTTTATTTCCCTCTTCCAACTTGAAACGTTTTTGGTCTTTTGCTGATTGGTGCCCGTGAAGTCCATCTACTTTTCTTTCCTTAGTACTGAATCAATGTGTTTTTCACTTGCTTCTTAGTGTTAAATTACTTCATCTACACTGCTCTAGTGTGCACAGGGATCTCCTCTCAGTTTCTCCTCAGCAGTCCTTTCAAATACTGATTAGAATTAAATTGTTTGAAATTACTTTTTGCCCCTCTCCTCTCAAAATCCATTCTGTATATTGACTGTAATGCAGAAAAGTAACTTTGCATTATCCAATAAATTACTAATTTACACTATCATATGTGATGGTCAGGTGGCATTTATGAAGCTCAAACTTGAAACATAAATGGAACTGTTTTGCCTATTAGAGTGAGTAGCATAGTGCTACACTGTGCTTTCCAGTTCACGTTTTTTCATAGGCCACATACTTAAGAGGTTGAACGTTTGTCAGTGACCTACTTAGTGGTGGGTATAGCATGCTTAGGTTCAAAGAAATGACTGACTGAAAGGATTTTTTGCCACTTGTGCTTAAGTTTGACTTTGTCGCAACTGTCAGATACATAAAACATAAAATATAATTAACGAATACGAACTTTCAAATCATAACCTTTGCTTTACTTAAGTCCTTTGCTATCTTACAGGCTTGCAAGATGCACTTCTACTGCTATGTGGGTTTTGCTTTTTATCAGATTTTGTTGAAGCAAAATTTAAGTCAAACTGTGTTTCCTTAGTCATTTTGTCATTCCTTCCAGATCATGTCATCGTTTTGACTTTTCCTACTTCACTTAGCCAATTGTTGTTTTATTCTATACCACATTGTCTAATACTCATAGTGTCCCAAGCTTAAAATCTATTAGAGGGAGTACAGAAACAGCTTTAAACAGTGCTGTGAAATAGCCATGAGAAGTCAGTGAACGTTTTCTTCTTACTGGCATAGGTGATAACTCACAAAAATAAGAAACTCACAGTCACTCCTTTCTTTAGGATAAACTAAATTTAATACAGTATTAAATTTATGGACTAATGAAGTCTGAGTTAGGGATTCTGAGTTATGGAATAAATAGGTCATGTGTAGTCTCTTCTCTGTGTTGATGTTGAGTTGGCCATAATTTTGAAGATCTAGGAAAGGCTAAACTGGATATTAAGAACACATAAGCATATACTAGCAGACAGAGCACCAGAATAGCTAACTTGGAGGAAGTGTCAGAGGTTTTTCAGACTATAGTGTCATTAAGCACAAGTTGGGAAAGCAAAGCTGAGACAAGAGCCAGATGGACTTGACCGTTCTTAAAACAGTAAGAAACTAAGCTGCTTTTTGATACATTTAAATCTGAGGATTACTTGTAAGGTGTGGACAATTATAGATTTACCTTCTTTCTTCCCTCACCCTGTTGTGGACTCAAACATGTAATCTACTCGCACATGTGTTCTAGACTTCGACATACATGTGTACTAGACTTCGAAAAAAGTGTCTGTTCTGCAGGACACTTCTGTCTTGGCAAATGGGAATTTGGTGTACAAAAGGCACAGATGGAAGAGTCCACGCTGTTTTCTGTCAGTGTTTAGTTTAATCCTTGGCTTCAGGCAATACAAATTAGTCATTAAAATTACTAGATAAAGAAGTTCCTCTTGTTAGATATTCTAAGTGGTGGCTGATTTGTTTTAAGTACATCTAGCTTCTACTTGGTTTGTCTTGAAAGCAAAAAGCTTAGACATTGAGGAGGGTGGAATAAGCTGCACAGGAGAACTTGTTTGAATTATACTGGCCAGGTATCTCTAATTTTATTTGAGTAAAATTCGTGTGCAGTGTGTATGCTGCTTTTTCTCCATCTGAAATCCACAACAAGATGGGACTTGTGGCTTGTACAGCTGCAGTGGTGCTTGCGTCACTCTGGACTGAAGTCCTGTACATCAGTGAAACAGTTAGTAGTAGCTCACTTCTTCCCAAGTTCTTGTAACCCAGTTGGCACTTTCTCACACCAAGTGAAAAATATCATCAGCTGTCAGACATAGTTTGCAATAATTGGGGTATCTGGGTTGTTTGAAGTAGCTGCTTCTACTGCATTTTGCAAAATCTTTGTCTGGATTTAGTAAAACTCAGCCATCTGTATATGAACTGGCAAATCTCTTGAACACGCATCTTCCCTTAACACAAGTAGGAATACTTGAGTGGTCCCTCAAGCATCTGATTCCAGAAATCGGGTTCAACTTCCAATTATTTTTATTGCTTGTTGAAAGCCAAGATTCATCTTTCTTATGTGCTTCTGTGAAGAAAGTGATTTTTGACTATGAATTATTGATAATGTGTGATTGAACCACTAATCTTCAGGCAAAATTTCAATCTCTTTAAGAAGTTTTACCTTTTCTTAACCTTTTCAAATATATAAGACCTTTGGAATGTCACATCTGAACACTTTTGAATTTTAGATGATAGCCCAAATTAAAACTGAACTAAATAAAAGGAATCATTCACAGAATCATTGAGGGTAGAAGGTACTTCTGGAGGTAATCTAGTCAACTTCCCTTCCTCAAGCAGGTTCTCCCTAAGCAGGTTGCCCAGGACCATGTCCAGTCAGACTTTGAGTATTTCCAGGAATGGAGACTTCACAACCCCTCTGGGTGGCCTGCTTCAGTGAAACCTCATAGTGAAAGTTTTTTTAATTGTGAAATTGCAGAATCAACCTGCATAAATGAGTTCAAGCTTATCCTGAATAAATTGCTGGAATTTGTTTGTGCAGCATCCTAGGCTAGTCTACTAATATTCATCAAGCTTAACTAATACAAGAAGAATGGATCATGAATGATATCCTTTGTAACAGCTGGGTGTGCTCTTTGCCTGCAGTGGTCTGGGTGTTTTTAATGGGGAAAACTAGATCACATGAACAGAGAGGTAGCAGAAATAATTTCTGTGCATCTTTTGCTGTTCATTCTGGAATTAGAGTAGTGTATTGGGAATGTCTTAGGCAAAATAGCTTTCTCTTTGAGATTTTATTGTCTTTTAAGGTTGTGGTTTAGAAAGGTTCCTTCCTGAGAGATTAATAATAACACCAAAAATTAGCATTTCTGTGTTAGGAGATAAGACTAAAAGAAAAGCCCTGCAGAAAGAGACATTTCTTTAACTTGCTCTTCTTTGGAAGCAGTGTTGGGAAGAGTTTCTGCAGACAGTGGGAGTGATGGAGGTGACGGGTATAGAAATTGCTCTGCTGTAATCAAACTAATAAGGAAAAAGGCACTTCTAGGATAAGAAACTTAGCTATATCTAGGTAGAGCTGTAAACGAATACAGAAATGCTTCTGAGTATTTCCATATTGTTTGTTACAGAAACACAGAATTGCTGAGGTCGGAGGCACTTCTAGAGATTGTGTAGTCCAACCTCATGCTCAGAGCAGGGCTGTCTAGAGCAGGTTGCTCAGGACTTTGTCCAGCTGGGTTTTGGATGTTTTTTTGTTAATACCTTTGCATATATTAATGTCTTCACAGCTTCGTCTAGCCAATTATTTGTGTTTGTGTGTGCTGTTTTGAAGAGGAGATTAGGAAGAATGGGGGTAGCTTTTTGGGTGGGGTGGTGGTGATGTCCTCTAAGTATTGGTGCTATGATAGAATAATTTGTACAAAATTACAAATGCCAGCAGTGGTAGGTTTGTTACTAAACACTGTCTTGTCTTAATCAATTACAAGCTTCCCATCAGTTGTTTGCTTTATATACTATTTAATACATGCTGTATAGATTGCAAACAAGATCTTAATGAAGCATAGGTTCTTTTTATATCTTTAGCAATAAATGAATTTGCCATTTGTGCTTTTTGTAATATTGTTTATTCTTTTATATGTTTGTTATCTCCAAGCTAATCTTTCGAACTAGCATTTTGTGAATTAGATGTGTTGGATTCTTCCCTTTGGCTTGTTATCTGGTTTTTAGATCTCGTTGATCCAGTTTCTGAAAAAAGAATGGTCAAGGAATATGGGAGAGTTTGCAAAAAGTCTGTGCTAGTGAAGGATAGTATTTTTATGAAGTGTATCCTTTTGCTAATGTTAACATTTTTCCACCTGTTTGCATTCTTGAGCCCTAAAAATATTTTTAAGAGGTATGCTAGCTAAGGATACTTTAGGTTTTAAAGTTGTCAAGAGATGACTACTGCTAAACCCTCAAGTGTTTAGTAAGTGCTTCGACAGAATACACTGTTAGAAATGGGCTGTGGTTCAGTGATTAAGAGCTAATTAAAAATGCTTTATGTCCATCTATCATCTGAATTACCAATGCTAAAAGAACCAGGAAATGTAGCACTTTTGATATTTAGCTTATGACCAGTTACTTGTACCATTGTTTTGAATATAGGCACAAAATGAGCCTTTAAACGCCTTGTTACTGAGAGGCTCTATTTAGTGTGTGAATATTTGTAGAAATGTTTGGCTTCCAATTTGGCTCAGATTCTAATATTGAAGTGTACTTGAAACACTTATTTTCAAGCACTGGTCCAGAATTTTACCACTATATTTTCTATGTTCAACTAAAAGTTTAAATTGAGTAGTGGATTTTTTTTATGTCGTCTTAACCTTGAACCTCCTGCATTTCCTCTAGTCTCTGACACATCATAACAAATTCTTCAACCTATTTTGCATAGCAATTTTTAAGTCTCTCATTAAACTGACTGTAGCCATTTCTGCATTGAACTTAGGGCAGTCCATGGGAACAGAGGAAGCTAGTTAAAAACCACTAACCTTACTGGAAAAATTAGGTGTTGTGAGCCTTTGAAACTTTTATCTGGGGTACATACTTTTCTCTAACGTAAACAATTTTGGCTCAGTGTGTCTGTATAGGCTTTAAACACAGTTATCCACTGCGTAGCACTGCAGTACTAATGAACACTCTTCTTCCTCTCTTTAATTAGGACAGAGCTTGGGCTATGGTTTTGTCAACTACGTTGAGCCCAAGGATGCCGAGAAGGCTATCAACACTCTGAATGGATTGAGACTTCAAACTAAAACCATAAAAGTACGTAGTGCTAATTATGATTTAAAGAAGCTGAAGTGTTTTGACTTCTTGTTGATCAGATGCATGATTTGTTTTCCCTTTCCAAGTGTAACTTAAGCATTCTGCTGATGTCAATAGAATAGACTGGGACTTCACCCTGTAGCAGATGGGTAGTCCTTTGTAGTATGTTTAGATTTAGACAGTTAGGTTATGATTAAGTTTAGAAAACTTTGATTTTTTTTTTTTTTAATGTGCTTGATAACACTTAAGAGATAAGCTTGAATTCTTTTAATGGAGAAATTGTGTTGTATGCTTTAGTTGCAGAAATGCAATATTGCACATAGTCTGAACACTGCACTATGTGCTTCCTCCTTGCTTTCTCGAAGAAGATGATATAACTTGCCTGTTAATACTTCGTTTTTCAGGTTGCTGGCATCTTGTTTCTTTTACAAATATTTAAAATGAAATGCTGAAATAATTGTTTTGGTTATCTGAATTACTGGACTCCTAGGGCTCTAGCCTCTAGGTCTCTAGTGTTTGGGATTCCTGTGGTTTTGTTTGTGTTCTAACTCCTGCACCTCTTGTTTACTAAATGCAGTTTCTTAAATTTCTGGAAGCAGAAATCTTAAGAGTTACTTTTTCTCATCTACTGTCTTAATTCATTGTCAGAAGAGTGAGGATACTCACTTGAACACTTGTTTGGGCTCTGAAATCTTCAGAGAGAGAAGATGAAATAAATTTTGTCAGAGAATGCAGACATTTGAACACGTTTCATATGTGTTGGTGCCCGAAGGCAATCCATGTACCAACCAGCCCATTCTTCCTCATTAAACAGCAGGGTTTGACTGATTACTTGGGCACTGGCTGCCCTCTAACTAGGATCATACTTAAGCCATAAAATAAAGCTCACCTCTAAAAAGGTTTGAAATTAAGAAGCAGTGCAGAGCCACTTTAAGATGACTGAGACAAAAGTAAGATGGCAGTAATTATGTTTAGAATGCCCTACCTGTTCTGGATACATAAGATTTAATGAAGTGGATTACACTATTTGAAACTTAGATCCTGCTGTTTAACAAACAGTGAATTGTGGCTCACAATAGCAATGGGTGAAAGACACGGATAGATGCTTTGCTGCAGAAAGCTGCTGGTGTGCTTCTGGCAGACTTGCTCACAGGCAGTCTCTCCCACTTTCTGCTTTGGGGGGAAATTGAGGAAAGTCATTTTGTGTTCTAGTTTTTTGAAGCTGTCTGCAGGGTGGAACTGGGTTTTCATTCCAGGTACACTGACTGTATCTTTGCATTTAATGTCTTGGATTCAACAAATAAATAAAAAAAAGCATCTGTCCAGGGTGCTAAGTTGGAAGTTCTGGTGCCTATATAGACAGACAAAAAAGGATGTTACAGAAAGTCAAGCCCGGTCCCCCAAATCAAAATGATCCCTTAAAAGGGTTTCCAGTGACTTACTTTATGCTGCCACTGTATGAATTCTTAATCCTCTTTCGCCTTGCTGAGTGATTAATGCAAACAGTCACTGTATTTCTGCAATTAAAAATTGGTTGTAAGAAAAAAAAAGTCTGAGGGAAAAGGTGAAAATGGAGTAGACAGATGTGGGTCTAGGAGAAATGTGGAAAGGAGAATTGTAGGTTGTACACAATACCAGACAGTGACCCTTGCAGGGATACTAAAGCTTATGTGTAAATTTTCAAGGATGTGTGCCTTAGATATCCTTAGCTAAAGAAAATCTGAAACATTTTAGTTTTTACAAGCAAAAATCATGACCTTTTCACCAAAATGAAGAAAATCCTTTGTTTAGTTAGGAAAAAAAGTATCTGTAAATGTTGCTTGTTCATGTTATGGGTAAAACTCTAACTCTAGCTACCTACATTCACCCCTGTTTAACTTCAGCAGCATCTTTCAGTGTTAGTGTGCATGGCTGGAGGGGGAAAACTGCTTTACTCCCTTCTCTTACTCTTCTTTCTTGGACACAAGCTGGATTTCAGGCTGAGTTTTCATGACTGGATTATCCCAAGATGCTGTTCAAAGAGGCTGGTTTTAACCTCCTTCCACACTGCAGAAGGGGCAAAGGCTAGTGGGATTCCTAGTGTGTTTTAAGACTATGGCACTTCTAAGTTGGGCAGTTGCATCTCCTGTTAAAAGAACTAAGATTTTTGTGTGGCAATGACTTGAAAGGAGACTTATCAAGAGCCTTTTTCTGTGGAGCAATAGAAATGCCCAGCCTACTGTGAAGCACTTCGTAATTTACATATTCCTCACATCAGACTAGAGGCAATACTGAGCAGAAATAAAAGTTGGTGTCTGGGCCCTTTACTGCCTCTGGGAGCAACATCTGTGGTGGAGTTACATATAAGATCTCAGTGCCAGGATCTTTGCAGAGACTACTTATGGTTTACAGACCACAGTGTTCCTATTTGTCCGGAGTTCATACTTCAATTAAAAAAAGAAGAATAATCTGTTTGGCAAACTCAGAATCCAACCCTGAGATTTACTTTCAGCTTTAGAAAATGGATGTCATTGAGATTTTTGTATATACCTTCACATGAGAAATGATGGGATAGGGTAGTGTTAGGGGATACTTGACTTCAAAAGAAAAAAATTAGATATTTGTTCTCTCTCTACATTTTTGGGACTTCTGTTAGGACTGTTGAGTAGTTCACGAGATTGATAGTTGAAAGGGTTTGGTTCTTGTTAGTCTATAAAACGAAGTAACCTCGTTGGTTAGGTGATGGATCCTCACATTGTGGCTGAGCTGAGAGCTTTCCCACTCAGAGGGAATTGTTCTGATCCTGACGTGTGATCTTCTAGATTGGGGCCATGACACACACCTCTGATCTGCTGCTTTTTTACTAGCCTGTTAGTCACAGGATCTATTTCTCTAACCCCTAAAAGGGGATGCCACCTGCTATTTTCTTGAAATAAAATATGTTGAAAAGGTGAATTTGCAAAATGCTGGCTTAAGCTTTCTGTATGGCTAGTGATACTAAAACCTATTGCCTGATACCTTTCTAAAAAGAACACCCTGTGGAATGCTTTATGGAACACTTTACAAATAGGTCAACCTTAACCAAATTTCATATCAATAACTCCAAAGCAAGTCATAGCAGTCTTAGTCTTGTCTAACCTGGTGCCAGTTGTGGTGCCTTCTGATTTGACCTGAATATTAAAACTGTAGGGTGGGTAGGCATTGACGTTGAAGGTATGTCTAGGTGTGCTGGATACCTGAACACCTAGGCAATTCTGCTAGGCAATATACCTACACCTATTAGATGGTATACTCTGTGGCATAATTTATGGTTTATTTGCAATGTAAACAGGCTTATTTATATTGCAGGTAGCCTGTGATGTTTGGGCTTAACTTAACTTAGGCAACTTCATGAAAACTAGTTGTATCTTAGAATTTTCTGTGGCTTTGCTTTTGGAAGAAGCTTCTGCTGGGAAGCACTTTGGATCTCTTCTATTTAAGACCCAGTGAAAATTGGGATTTCTGTACCTGGAGTAATTTTTTTCTGCTTACACACTTGTTTATCTGTAACTTCTTTCATTTGGGTTGTCCTGGAAAGATCAGTTCTTCCCAAACATGCGAAATGCAGAGGAACAAACAATATGTAGGACTCACTGATTTGCACATAGTGATAAGAAAATTCTGTGTGTGTTTTGCTGGTTTGGCTTCTACTTGGGAAAGGGGAAATCTTCAGTGGCTTCCCCTCCCACTGCTCCTGGGAAAATGCCTTCAAAATGAAAAGATACAGGTGAATTTATTGTGAGATTATCTGAATAGGAATATCTTTCATTGTGGTGTGAAAGACTTGTACATTAATAAGAAAGTGTAGTAAGATTCTGTCTAATGAGGAGTGGTCAAACAAAGGGGCTATCCTTGAAATGGCAAAGAGCTGTTTTAAGATACATTATAGGAGGCAACTTTTTACCTAGATTAGTAGGGGTAGGAGGAGCACATGGGAATGGCTTTTCTCTGTGGATGCTAGACTCTTGGATGAGGGACACGGTCTCTTGTGGATTGTAGCTGCCAAGGGCATACTGCAGATGGCAGTAATGGAGTGGTCGTTCCTCCCTCGCCAGGTGAACTGGGGCTGAGGAGTTTCCTGCTGTCCTGTCCCCAGCTCTCCAGTGTGAGAGGGCCTGCAGTGGCAGAGCCTCTACATGCGGGAGCTGACAGACAGTTTTATTACTCATTTTTGCTGGTGATACATGAATAGACGTGTATGCAAATATACATTGGACAGGGGAAAGAAAATTGTTTGTCCAGGCTAGATGCCTAGGTTTTGTCCTTTAGAAGATAGCATTGATTATCTAGTTGTATTTTACCTAGCTAGTGCTTCTTAAAAATAAGATTTAGTAAGGTTTCCTCCTCTTTTAAATTCTTTGGACTATTAGGGTGTTTACATGGGTAATTATCACCTGTCAGGGGAATAGAGATTTAAGAAATATTTTATCTAAAGTATTAAATCTGTAGGTTTTCTTCCCACTCCTTTATAGCTTTGCATATATTAGAAAAAAAAAAAAAAATCAGGCTTAACATGTAACATTCTGTCAACTTCCTGTTGGAATGAAGTTTGACAAATTCTTTGACTACAAGCATAGATTTCCTACTTTGCCATCATCACCTAGTTAACTGCCCTACTGTGGAATGCTGTATAATGAGAAGAGCTAGTTAAGTCTTCAGTTGAAGAGTGAATACTGAACTATCAGCTTTACTAATGCCTAAAGAAGTACAGTACAGCAAGGGAAGACTGGAAGTTAGGGGTGTGCCACAACTTCATTAGTGTCCTCTGAGGCACAGTGTCCTTAAAACTTGGCATTATGCACTGCAATTTCACCTGATGCCTTGAACTATTACTTAGGTTTACAATAAGATTCATTTTAAATGAATTATCCTTTAACCTAACTACCCAAGATGTCTACCCTTATGAAATTCTACCTATGATAGAACTCTTGAAAACACTGTGTTCACTTAAAGGAAAATAATAAAATGCTGGAAAAGAAACA